GTTCTGTGACGGTAACTTTATTTAATAGTCTGAAATTTTTTTTTAGTGCTGTGTGAAAATCATGTAATTTAAGCTAAATGCCCAAGCGAATCACCTAATGAGGTAATTGCTTAATTTAGTTAGTTAAAGATTTATGACCCTGACAGGGACAGAAAGAGTGTTGCCACAAACATATTCAGTTCAGAAAGAGAAGTTATATACTTGTGGAAGGGCACTTTAATTTTGGCAGTCTCCAGACCATCAGAGTTGGAAAGAAGCCTTAAAATGTTTTAGCAGTCCAGGTAGGCAGGACTGGGAAAAAACCCTGAGTTATTTTTTTCCTTGAGTTCAGTGAGAAGGTCAATAAGTTGGCCTTTGTCTGGATGTCTCAAAGAGAGACAATAACAGAGAATCATAGTGAATGTGTAAAAATTCACTGAAAGAACACCATGAGCAGCCTTGTCAGTTGAGTAATAAGTTAGAGTGAAGATAGGAATGATATTTCTCCAGGGTTGTGTCTGCAAAGGGTAAAGCTGGGAAAAAAGATAAAATCTTTTTTTTGTTGTTTATACTATGATCTTTCCAAATTGTTTCATATAGCTATTTTTCTATTTTGTGTAATAGATTTGTTCTTTTGTTGAAAGTTCATTGGCAGTCTCTTGTGAATATGTTCAGTGACTGACCATCAAGTTGTATATACAAAAGCTTATGGTCTACCAAGCCAGATTTTAATCTGGGATATGACTGGTCCAGTTTTACCGTCAGTTAAGATTATAACAATGAATACCTTGCATTATGTTCTCTAGTTTTAGATTCTCCAACAACTAGAAATATTCTCTTTCCACCAACCATGTCCAGCACATTCATTATTCCAAAAATCTAATTTTTCGTTGCAGCTGTTATCTCTCAGTCCTCATTGAAATGTAATATTCTGAGACGGTTTGATAGGTTAGATGCTGAAAGGTTGATTCTCCTGGCCAGAAAGTCTAGAACTAGGGCTCTGAGGATAAAGGGAGAATTGACCATTTAGGAATGAGATGAGAGAAATTTCTACACACAGATGATTGTGACTTTTTGGAATTTTCTGCTCCAGAGGGGAGTGGATGCTCCATTGTTTAATGTCTTCAAAGTTGAGATAGATATTTTTGATCCCTCAGGGAATCAGGCCATTATCCTAATGAAGACTGGAGCAGGTTATGAGGGCCATATGGTATACTCAACCTATCTTTACTCTTTTATTTCCTTAAATATTTCTGCTTCCATCAGTCATGGATTCACACTATCTCCACTTCTCATTCTCCCAATCTTCCCCATCACATACCCACCTTTCCACTTTCCTCCTCCACTTTTTTACCATCTCCTCCACTCCCTCTTCTCTCTCTTCCTCTCTGTCCCCGTTTCTTTGTCCCATTGTGACTTCATCCCTCTTCTTTCCTTGCACATCCCCATATCCCCATTCTCCCTCCCCTTTCCTCCACCCTCTACATTCTCCTCTTTTCTCTGTCTCTGGACCTTGCCCCTCCCCTCCCTCTTCCTCTGCCTCTTCTCACACCACTCCTCCACCCCGCTCTCCTCCTCCTGCTCCAAGTAGCTGAGAGACAAGGCCTCGGAAGCTGAGGGGAGGGCAGTCTTGTCAGAAAGGCTGCAGAAGAAAGCTGTCACTGGCCTTGAGGAGGCAGACTATGCTCGTAAACTGGCAGAATCCCAGGAAAAAGGAGGTGAGAGAAGAGAAACAAACTGCAGACTCTGAACATCAGACTCCAGGAAGAGAATGGACATCTTCAGAGTAAGTTAAAGAAAAGCACCCAATCGGAAAAATGTGTGGGCACCATTTTTTTTATTATCGCAGGTTACACCCCAACTGGTCATAGGGTAGAATCTATCGCACTCCTCTGATCCTTATTGGTTACTAGGTCCAGCCTTTTTGAACCCCTCCCAAAGGTCCAGTTAATCTCAGCGACAGACTTTAGGCACAAGGTTTGTTCACTGTATTCTAAGGTTCTTTAGAAAATGGGAACATATTCCATACAGTACAAAGTGAGGAATTCATGATTTGATTTGTACAAAACACTGATTAGATGAAGTTAGAGACGAGGTACAATTTGTGCCCAAGAAGATAAAGGACACAAAAGCCAAAGAGAGTAGACAGAATAGATTCATTTGGGGTTGAAACTAAAGTTATGAAGAGAGATTGGGAATTTTCAATAAAGAAGGCTGTGAAGAGATTGAGAGAGGCTTTCAAACTTAGAAAGGATTTTAATAATGAGCAAACAACTGTTCTTGACCCCTCCTCCTCCCTCACACCCTCGGTCCTCTCCTCCCTCTCTTCCTTCACTGTCCTTCACCTCTCCCATTTTCCCTTTCTTCCTCTTCTCCCCACTCCTGTCTCGCATACCCTCTCTTCTCTCTTGCTCCCTCCCCCTTGACTTTTTCCCCCTCGACTTTTTCCCCCTCATTCTATTAGCTCAGCCTCTCTCCTCCTCTCACTATTCTCATCTCCCTTTTTCTCCCTTGCCTCCTTTCCCCAAACTCTCCATTTCTTATTCTCTCTCTTTCTTTTCCTCTCCTTTTATCCTTCCTTTTCCCTCTCCCTTTCCACCATTCCCTCTCCATCTCTCCCCTTGTATTGGCCCTCTTCTCCCCTCTCCTCTCTGAATTCCTCTCCTCTCTGAATTCCTCTCCTCTCTGAATTCCTCTCCTCTCCTCTCTGAATTCCTCTCCTTCACTCACTCTCCCCTCTCCTCCTCTCACTCGTCCCTCTCCTCTCTGTTCCTCTCCTTCTCCCACCCTCTTCTTTCGTCTGATTGGGGAGTCTAACACAGGAATGATTAATTTAAATTGTCAGAGATCAGGAGTTGTAAAACCATGAGGAGAAAGAATGGGGTTAGTTTGGGATAGATACAGGGCTATGAGGAGACAGCATGCGATGGGAGTTAGTCTGGGATTAGTGCCAGTGATGCCTCCTGCAAATCCACTGGCAATCTGCTCCGATATCAGTGACCTCTCTCAGGCTAATATCCCCAGTACTGAGCTACCGATCATGGTCAGTCAGCTGCACTGGGTCACATTGTGACCGTGCCGGACATAAGATTTCCGACACAATCTTTCTACATCATGGCTTTGAAAAAAGAGCAGTATACTTACTTAATGAGAAAAATAATGCAGGGGAGTGGGACAGGGTGAATTGCCCTTTCAGAGGACCATAATGACAATACAGGCTGAATGGCCTCCTTCTAGGCTGTGTAACTATTTTATGATCCTATAAACACTCAATCAAACTGTTTGTCCAAGAATTACTTTTTGGTGTTTGACCAGTTTCTCAACATTGCACAGTCCCTCCATCCCAGCTGCCATGCAAATCAATTTGTACCAACTTTCATTAATGTTCTCAGCTCAGAAGATCCCCTTTATCCTGTAAGTATTATGTATTTGTATTGGCGTCCACTATTTATATCCTTAATCATTGCACTGTTGGTGACTGACTTTTCGCAACAATTTCAGCAAACATCTTCCTTACCTTTTCAATAATGGAAATAAACAGCTTGCTTGTATTTAACACCCTTTCCAAAAAGTGCTTTATATTAAATGATGTATTTTTGACATGTAATCATTATTGTAATGTAGGAGTGGAGGCAACCAACTCCCACCGACAGCAATGAGATAAATTACCAGACAATCTTGTTTATTTTTGAATTCCAATTTTTTAATTTTTTTCCCCTTGGTTTTGGATCCCATATTTCCTCCTTTTAAGCCTGATACTGAATTCACTCATATTAGACTCCTGAACCCCATAACATTGCCAGATTGTAGTTTTGATTAATTTCTTTGGGGCTAAAGAGAACTGTATTTGTTCTGTAGCTAAGAGACGTACAACATCGATTAACAGTGACAGAGAAAATACTTAGAAAGCAAATCAATGTTGGATCGGAGTACAAGGGAAAACCAATTGAAGTCAGAAGAAATCAGCAACTTGCAATTTGAGAGAGACAGAGATGCTTAGAAGCAAGGAGCTGCTTGAAGAAGTTTCCAAACTCAAAGACAGATTTGGGTTTTTCTGTTACCTCCTATTTCTGTGAGTACAACTGATCATTACTGGTATTTTGAAGATCACTGCCGTTTCATCTCCTCACTCTAACTCTCCCTTTCCCCTCCCTCTGTCTCTTCATTATCCCACAAGCACCATTTGCTGTTCACGCAAGAACTCATCAGCTGTAAGGTCTCAGACATTCATTGTGCCAATTTCTTACCTCACCAGCAACTGTGTCCCCCTCTCCCATCTCCAACCCACTGTGAGTGAGTGCTTTATCCTTAACAATACTGACAGAGGACAGTACTGAGAGTATACTGAACAGTCAGAGGGACAGTACTAATGGAATGCTGCGCTGTTGGAGGTTGTATCTTTCAATGAGATATCCAAGATGATATGGGGAGGCAATGGCCTAGTGGTATCATTGCTGGACTGTTAATCCAGAGACCCAGATAATGTTCTGGGGACCTGGGTTCAAATCCCACCACGGCAGATGGTAGAATTTGAATTCAATAAAAATATCTGGAATTAAGAATCTAATGATGTCTGTGATCCATTGTTGATTGTCATAAAAACCCATCTGGTTCACTAATGTCCTTTAGGGAAGGAAACTGCCATCCTTACCTGGTCTAGCCTACATGTGACTCCAGATCTACAGCAATGTGGTTGACTCTCATCTGCCCTCTGGGCAATTAGGGATGGATGATAAATGCTGCCTGGCCAGTGATACACGTATCCCATTATTGAATAGAAAAAAAAATTCTGATACCTAAGGTGGACATTATCGAGCTCCTGACATTATTTTAAGGACCTGAGGAAGTCACTGTGTGAAATGATTTGAAATATCTGGAGGTAGTCTGTATAAAAACGGGCTCCTTCCTTTCTTTTTTTAACACTGTGAACTCTGTTGTTCTGGCAGAGAAGCTGTTTTGAGATGAGCAGCTGAAGAGGCCTCTGATAAAGCCATCCGACTACAATTTGAGACAGAGAGATATCGGAGGCTGGCAGAGCACGAGAAGGAGGAGAAGAGCAAGGAGTGTGAGCTGTGGCATCAGAAACACAATATCCTTAATGACATGCTGAGGAGTCAAGAGAAGGCTGAAAGAAAAAAATAAAGCTGTAGGTTTTAACCTTCTCTCCACTCTGGGTAAACTTCTGTCAGAGAAAGAGGCCATTGGGCCCATACAGTCCACATTGGCCTTTACCCTCCACATGAACAAATAGTTCTAATCACTTTTACTGTCCCTTATTCTATATCTTTCCAACATCCTTTTCCTGCATCTAGCTCATCCCAAACACTGACAATAGTTCCTGCCTCAAACACCATATCCTCATCTTGCTCTGGGTGAGGGTGTTTCTCCTGTCCTCTGTTCTCAATCTCTTCCTTTAAGCTTTGACACTCTCTTAGTCTTGACTTCATCTAACAATCTGCTTCAATTGATCCTGTTCTGCAGTCCCTCAAAACTCTCTGAAAGAGGCCATCCAAGTCCTTCACTATCTCTTCCACCATCCTTTCCTTTTTCATTTTTCCACCTGGAAATACAAAGCAGTAAAAGTGACAGCTTGCTGGCAGAATATCGTAAAATCTCCAACTGGCTCATTAATGCCTGTCAGGAAAGGGAACCTGGTGTTCCTGATCTCTCCAGACTCTCACTGAATGTGATTGCTTTGCCATGAAATTTCCAAGGTCATTAGGAGTCAATCAGTTGCATCAAGGTTTTTGAGAGGTTTAAGGGGCTGGCTCAATACTACTTTCTCAAGGCTAATTAGGGATTAGCAACAAATGTGGATCTAAACAGTGGTGCTCACGTCAAGAAAGAAAAGAAAATGGCAGTGGTTCAAGAATGCAGTTCAGTGCCTCTCCTTTGGGAGGGCTGGGCATGGACAAGAAATGTCAACTTTGTCCATAGCACCCACATCTCTGGACTGAATGATAAAATATGATTACTTTCTTCTGTCTCCAGTGTCAAGCCAAATTCCAGACTTACTTGCTGTGCAGGACAGAATGTGACCAGCAGCTGTGTTGCAAGAACAAATGACAGGACTCCGAAGAGTTTTGTGGTAAGCTTAATAATATATGTTTCAGGATCTGTAATTATTAAAATGATTTCTTCCAAAAATAAGTCTAAGTCGGATGTGATTATAGAATCACAGGACAACATAGAAAGAAGGTATTCGGCCCATCAGTTCTGCACTGGCTCATTGAAAGAGAAAAAATAGGAGCAGAAAGTAGACTATTCAGCCTGCTCCCCCATTCAATATGATCATGGCTGCTAAGATCACAAGGGATTATGGTTAATTTATTAGCTTGCATCGAGGATTGGCTAACAAACAGAAAGCAGTGTTAGGATAAATGTGTCTTTTCTGGTTAGCACGACGTAATAGCGTGCCACAGGGTTTGGTCCTTTGGCCTAAATTATTTACAATCTTGTAATGACTTGGACGCAATGGTAGAATCTACTGTAGCCAATTTTACATATAAAATCATAGAATGTTACAGTATAGGAGAAGGCCATTCAACAATATGAAAATAGGTGGGAATGTATGTTGCAATGAGGAAAGTGGAGTTGAGGCCAAGATGAGATCACCTACAATCTATTAAATTGCAGAGCAGAGCAAGTAGGCAATTCAGACCCCCTTGCTCCCAATTCTATTTTCCTGCCCATTTCCCTTAGCTCCCTGAGCGATCAAAACTTTTATCTATCTGTGCCTGCAATATAATCAACAATGGAGCATTCATAACCCCTTGGTGCAGACATTTCCAAAGGTTCACGATCCTTTACAGTAAGTAATTTCTCCTCGCTTAAGTTTATGATAATTGACAGCTCACTTTGAGACTGTGCCCCCAAGTTCTCAACTCCCCAGTTGAGGAAATAAGCTTCAGTATTTACCTATTCTTGTAAACATTAAAAGGGTATAAGCCCAATTCATTCAGCCTCTCAATATTAAAAGTCAACACTAATCCCATGAAGAAAGCAAGCCAACGTTTGCTGTATCAGCCTCAAGGCAAATGCTGTATATCCTTCTTTAGACAGAGACCAAAACTTTGCAGTATTCCAAGTTCCACCTGACCAAAGCCATGTACAATTGTAGCAAACTTCCTTTATTCTTAAAATAAAGACCAAGAGGCTGGTTAGATCATGCCTGGAGTAGTGTGTGTAGATTTGGTCTCCTTATCTAAGGAAAGATATCATACAGCCGTAGAGAGGTTGCAATGAGGGTTGAGCAGAATTGTTGCCAGGATGGTGGGAATGTGTTGTGACCTGGGCCTGTATTCTCTAGTTTCAAAAAAAAAAATGGGGTAGTCTCTTTGAACCCTACAAAATGCTCAGAGATAGACAAGGTAGATTCAAGTAAGTCGTTTCCCCTGATTGGGAGTCTAAAATGCAGGGGATGCCACTGAGGTTTGAGATGAGAAGCTACTTTACTTGAGGGTTGTGAACACTTGGAATTCTCAACCTCAGAGGGTTGTCCGGTTCGATCTTTAAGTATGCTTAAAAAGGTAGAGATTGATAAATTTCTGGAGTACCACTACCATACATAGTCAGGGGATGGGGTGAGGAAAAATCATTAAAAAGTGTTTAATGAACCATGATTATAATGAATGGCTTGCTCCAGTTCCTATATTCCTCTGCCTTTCTAATCACTAGCTTACCTGCAACCTCATGTTCCTCGTATAAGTACTCTCAATTATCTAACAAAATTTAATTCCATTTGAATTCATTTTCTATTTTCACAAATTAGTTAAGTATTGCCTTGTTGGTGGGTTTGAACTGCAGGAGTAATGCAAATCACAGGTTCACTACTGAAGAACCATTGCATTGCTCAAAGGACACCGTACAATCGGAGGGGCAATACTGAGAAAGTCCTACACAAGACAGTCAGCAATACGGGAGGGGCAGTCCTAAGCAATGGGAAAGGTAGTGCTGAAGGGATACTGCTCTATAGGATCAATAAGAAGGTTAATAACAAATGCAGCATTCCCTCACTACTGACCTTCAATCAGAACTATTACCATTTGATAATGGTGAACAGAGGCCTCGTCTGCACGGTGGACCTTTTGGTGCTGTCCTTTTCCAACTCATTTCAATGATTGCCAATTCAAATATGTTGTGTGTTTATTTGGAGGGGGTGTTTAAAAAGTCTGGAAATAACATGGAGTAATGTTACATGCTAGCTCTGTATATGAATTATTTCAGGAAGGAGAGCGAGTGCACTTTACTGAAGCTGATGCCCAGGTGCATATAACTTCCAAAAGGTAAGCTTTTGAATAATGAATTAATGAGCAGTTTCTCTCAAGTTCAGGAGGCGCGGATCTGGTGCTTTACCATGAGGGAGCAGAAGTATACAGTATGGATACAGCCCTTTCAACCCAACTCATCCATGCTAACCAGGTTACCTCAAATCCTCCTATCCATGTGCTTGTTGAAGTGTCTTTTAAATGTTGTAATTGTACCCACCTCCACCACCTCATTCCATACAATGCACCATTTGTGAAAAAGTTACTCCTCAAGTCCCATTTGAATCTTTGTTCTCATTATATATCTATACCCTCTAGTTTTGGACCCCCCTACCTGGGTAAAACACCTTGGCTATTCACCTTATCTATACCTGTGATTTTATCAACCTCTATAAAAAGGTCGCATCCTTAGCTCCAGAGAGGAAAGACCCAACCTATCACACCTCTCTACATAACTCACTTTTTAGTCTTAGTGAAAGATTTACAACAATGTTACCATCTTTTGGTTTCATGGCATTCTTCCTATAGCAGGGCAACCAGAATTGTATGCAGTACTCCAACTGTGACCTTACCAATACTATTTTTTTTGCAATTTCCCTGTAACTCAATTGCCCTTATGTGAACTTGCAAGACTCTATGAATTCTTAACACTCAGTTAATACAAGACAAATTTTTAAATTGTGAACTCCATTCCTCCACTTGTTTCATGTCTCTTAAAAGATTTCCTTTGGAAGGTTGACAATCTTGACAATCACCTGGCCAGGTGCAGGGTTATTTCAGAAATCTCACACCCCTTCAGCACAAGGAAAATTGTTAATTATTTCTGCTGACAAAGGAAATTAAAAAGGTGAAAGTGCCTCAACTTTAGAATTGATACTCATTTATTGCTCAACAATCCTAATTCTTTATTTTTGGAATTTACCACCAAAATCCCCTTAGACTAGCCTCAAAGTTTAAACTCCCCTCTGGTGTTAATCATGCTCCAAAAATTGATTCTTTCATTAGTGAAAACAGCACTTTTGTAACTGGACTTCTCAGCATTTCTAAAAAAAGTCAATCGAGCCTTCTCAATTGAAAATTCAGACCTTGCTTCTACTTAAAGGCTAGGAACCTGCTGTTTTAACAGCCTTCAAAATAAAGGAGTATGTATAATGCCTGCACAACCTTTAAAAGGATAGACCGTCTTATCCCTCCTCATTCTTATTGAGTTTGTTTTGTGTAAATCTACCACATTTATTTCAGACTATTTGCAACATTAAGTGCCTTGCCCATTAAAACCTAGTCTTGTGTGTTACTGCAATATTTTCAAAAAACTAGAATCCAGATGGTTCATAAGAAACCAAAAAGGTGCATGGAAGCAATTTAAGTTTTCCTTGACGGATATTTATAGTAAGTTACAACATTTACCTATCATTGTAATGATCACTGACCTACAATGACTCTTGGTCTGGCCTCAGTCACTACTGCTGCACAGGAGCCCTTTTAGTTTTTATTGCAAACACTGACAATTCAATTCAGGTGAATGGAATCAGCAACACAGTGAACAAAAAAAATCTGAAGTGCAAAGAGCAAAGATTACTGGAATCTGGAGTAAGACAATCAAACCAGTTCAACACTACTGTGGCAGTGTGGGAAGATTCTAAAACTAGCTGGTCAAAGCAAAAAAAAAAAAAAAGG